AAAAGGACTTACATTTATTTTTTAGCCAACACTTTAATATTAACTTCAGTGTATATCTTGGGCTTCTCTCTTCAATGCCAGATCAGCAAATTTCATTGTTAGATCATTATCTCTGAGAATACGGATTTCACTTTAGACAAAGATAAAACTTATTCTATAAGTTGTCAGGCACATACTTTGATTCATTTTTTTTTATTTGCCAAGGTATCCTTACATACTTATATATGTATACACATATACATGTACACACACATACACATACACACACACACATACACATACACATACACATGTATATATATAAACAGGGAAACATCAATAAAATGGCAGCTTGATGTGTAGTTCTCACTTCTATTTTAATGCATAATATTCAAAATATAATGTTTAGACTATGTTTGATTTGACTGGTGTCGAAATCTCATCAATTTACAGTTAAACTGGCTAGATGTAGCCATAACTTCTATGCTAACAGTTTCTTTTCTTGAACTTCTCACTTTTGGAACTCCCTTCCGCCTCCATGCTTTCCAGTCAACTTTAATCTGCAGAAATTTAAATGCAATGTCAATCGCCATCTATTGTCCTCCTGAATCCTCTAATCTCCTTCCATTTATTATTAATGTATCTGTTCTTAATTCTTCCACACTCTGTAACTCCTTGTGCCTTAGTGGCTTTACTGCCTTGCTTGGAGTGATACTGATTAAAAAAGAAAAAAGAGAATTAATGAGGGAGGAGATTATGTTGAAAATATTTATTGCATATATAGCAATTTTCCATTGTAGTTTGATGTGGCACAAGATCAAATGTATGGGACACCCAGTGGGGATTAAACTCACTACTCAGTCGTAATTGTTCTAGTGAAACAAGCTTGCTAAGCATTACACCACCTCAAGGGGCCCAATGTACTGCATATATATGCTTCAGTGAAACGGCACTCACTCTTCATCCGTCTGTGATCATCTTTGGGTTTGGTGATTTTAATATGCCCAACTTAAACATTCTGTTGTTACAGACATTAAAATTTTCCATTTTCACTTATTCAGATTGTGGATTTCTCTATCAATTTTCTGAGCAAATCTGAGCAACTAGATTCTCTACTTGACTTCTTTGTTAGTTCTTCACCTCGCTCTTTCTGAGCTTCACAAAACTGATTGGATTACTCTGTATTATAATTTGTTACAATCATCTATTAGACAGGAACCTTCTATTCATAAGATCGCTTTCCATTACCAGGATGCTGATTGGAACTCAATCCTTGATTTTCTTTACAATGTCCACTGGGCTGGTCCCTCTTAGGTCAAGGACGGTATGGATGCTTTCATTCCTTCTTGGAAATATCAGGTGAAAACTCAATCATCTCCATGGTACACACCAACATGTGCTGTTGCTATAGCCCACAGCAAATACTATTTTCCACTATACCAGCAAAATATCTATCATCACTGATGCTGCTCATGGAAACGAGTTCTTAAAGGAGCTAAGTCTCTATTTGCTGAGAGAATGAGACATCGTATTACATATAAAACTTTGGCTCTCGTGATTACTGGTGACTCTGTAATAGTGTATTATATAAGTGTAAGATTTCTCCTCTTTAATCAATTTGAGATCATAAAGCTGAATGTTTTACCTGTAAATTCTCCTTATTCTCTACCTTCAAATTACCTGGAGTATTCCTACCTAACTTTCCAGCTAGTATTGCATTTCTGTTGATTGATATGCATATAACCACTTTCTGCTATCATCTGTAACCTGGATCTGGGCCATAATGGTATCTCTGTAATAGTCATTAATAAGTGTGCTCCTGAATTGTCTCCTGTTCTCTCTGAACTATATAAGTGCCTCTCCACTGCTTCCTTTCCTGCCTGTTAAAATTCCCCATCTGTTGTTCCAGTTTTTTAAGAACTTGGTTAAACTCTCTGACCCTTCCAACTATTGGCCTATTAGCTTTCTGCTTCTTTTTGGGAACTACTTGAGGCCATAATCAATGCTGAATTGGTTAAGCATCTCACATCAGAGGGCCTTTTTCAGATAAGCAATATGGCTTTCATTTCACTGTAATCCTGAACAGCCACTCTTCCAGTTCCTTCTATACTAATGCCGTTGCCTCCCAGGGTTCCATCTTTGGTCCTACTTTGTGCTTAATTTTCATTAATGACATTTCTGAGGACATCAGCTCTCAACTTGGTATCTATGCTGATGATACAATCATTTACTCCTGTCTTGATAAGTCTGATAAGGTCAAAATAGCAGCTGATATCCAAAATGACCTTCAGTCTGTTGTTAACTGGGACAAAGGATGGCTTGTTATCTTTAACACCTCCAAAACTAAACTGCTCTCTATTAATCATCTGACAGAATCATCTCTGCCTTTCATCAGCATGACTGATGTTGACTTCCACCTTCTTGGGCTAACATTCTTGGCAGACATGAAGTGGAAAGATTATATTAAATCCATTGCTAGAAAAATTGGCTCACTGTGTCATGCTTGACAGTTTTTCTCTTCTTAACTTATCCTACATATCTATAACTCTACCATTCATACTTAGAATATTGGGGCCACATATGGTCGGGTGCTCCTGCTATTTATCTAGAACTCCTTGATAAAACCAAAGAAGAATCAGCAATATTATTGGCCCTTTTCAGGCATTTTGGCTTCAGTCACTTTCTCACCACCACAAGACTGCCTCCCTGTGCCTTTTTTATCAGTACTTTCATGGTAATTGTTTGGATGGGCTCTTTGTTATGGTACCTAGACTCTTTGAATTTAAGTGCAGTATTAGATTGGTGACAAGTCTCATCATATTAGAGTTGAGTTGGCTAGCTATAACTGTAAATTCTCTGCTAACAGTTTCTTTACTCACACTCCTCACTTGTGGAACACCCTTCTGACTCCATGCTTTTCAACCATCTTTAGTCTGCAAAATTTAAATGCAATGTCAATTGCTATCTCATATCCTCCTGATTACTCTTCTTTTGTTCTCGCTCCTTAGCAATATATCCATTTCTAACTCATCTACAACTAGTAACCCTTTGTACCTTAGTGGTTTTACTGCCTTGCATGGGGTGATATGGAATATTTGTTGATTGCCGTAAATGGTACTGGTACTGTTATGCATTTCCTTATCATATAATCAAAATGACTGCAGAAGAAATATCCTGGTCTCAAAAAGCACTTTGAATCATGTTCCAACCCTGACCTTTAATCATTGATCAAAGAAAGTGGCTGATACAGATGACAATTTAGAGATGCGTCTGGCACCATGCATGGCATCCATATGAAAGATTCAATTTGATGAGGGTATTTAAGGATAAGACTTTAGTTTTCGAATTAGTAGAGGACAGGCAGCAAAACCTTTACAAACTGAATACTACAGTATATATATATATATATATATATATATATATATATATATATGTATAAAGAAATATAGTCTTAAAGTGTGCTATATTTATGGAATAAAGTCCTCAATATCAGAGATAGAGAGTGTAAATATAAAAGTGAACATAGAAGTCAACACTTAGAGGCGACAGTCTGTTTCATGCTATATGCAATCGTCAGGCCACATATGCTGTTTTTTGTTCTCGGCTATTTATATATATGCGGGTTAGTGGTGCATTGTGGGTATTCTATTATGGCGGTTATTTTACCGGAAGTTGTTTGTTTATTTATTTGGGTCAAATTATATTGCTTGTTTTTATTTTTATTTTTTTGTTTCTTATTTTATTTATTTATTTATTTATTAACGTAGTAAAAATTTGTTTATATCACTTATTTAACAGTTTTGTTTTGGTTTGAGAATTTAATTAAAGCTATTTGTTCAATTTTTGGGGTTGATTGTTGTAGTTTATTCTAACTATTATTTTGGCGGGAACAGTTTTTTAATTGATTATCTTGAACAAATATACACAACAGTATTTTGCAATTTCAACTTAAAAAACAAATGATAACAAATTTTAGAAGACTTTCATATCAATAATATTTGTTTCAATATAGGCATGCATATATTAAAATACCTTTAAAAGTCATTTTTGCTTCGTGATGCTAAAATCTATTCCACTGTCATAGAATATGAACAGACATTCATTTCAGTCTTTGAATTGTTAACAGCATAAAGGCTATACTGGATATTTCTCAACTTTCTATGAAAGTCTAGAAATGGAAAATGACCAGCAGTGATTGAAAGCTCTTGGAAAATAACTAATAATTTTGAGAACTCCTTTTACATGTTTCTGCCTTATATGAAATGATTTATTCTGCACTAAGAAAAACTAATCAAATGACTTATCAGACATTCCTTGTTCATTCTATTTAATATAATATATTGAAATCAAGTTAGAATATTCATCCTTAATCCAGCATCCCTTTTCTTGGTTCATACTCATCCCCAGTAATTTTTTAAGGAGAGCAGAGGTTTATCCTTTGTTTCATGTCTAGGGTTGGGTTTTCGAATCCTTCTAAAGTTTTCTCATTCTTTTTCACTCACAGTAATTCCTTGCATCTTCGTGGCATTATTGGCTTACTTAAGGTTAATTGATTAAAATCCACCACAATCTGAGTGCATTCTCCTTCATCACCTCTATAGTATTTCAACAATACTTTAGAATTGGGAAAACTTAGAAATAACAAAGATCAAAGCCTGGATGTACAGTGGGGTTGATAGACTTCAGGAATGGTATAGTTAGACAAGAAAGATCTGTACAAGAGCTGAAGAACAAGTAAGCAATTTATTGCTTGGTTGGTTGGTTGTTTTTGTTTAGTGGCATATCACCATCTATGAGTTATTTAATGCTGAAATCTAAACATTTCTTTATGTTATTTTTTGGAGATAATAATGGTTTAGTAACACACATCTTACTAATTAAACTATAAGAGGAGAGGAGGTGGATTCATACCTTTCCCCAGAGTATTAGCACCTAAATGAATATAACAAACATTACTGTAATTTGAACTCGGCTCTCCGATTAACAATTCCAACTCATTATCCAAACTTCCAGCCACAAACTTACAGCACCTAATATTCCCAAGCGGTCACCCATCTGGGTACTGACCAGGCTCAACATTGCTTAACTTCCATGATCAGACATTCATACATAAGCTCACTGAATGTTATTTCACTACAGACAGCATAACCTCATGGGAGAGAGTCTGTTCATGCATGCATAAGTTAGGTCCGCTTACATCAAGGCTATGCAACCAATTCTAAAGATATTAAAAGATGACTGAATACTTTCTGGATATTCTCACAATAGATAAGCTCACTAAATGGTATTTCACAACAGACAGCATAACCCCATGGGAGAGAATCTGTTCATGTATGTGTAGCAAGGTCTGCTTACATCAAGGCTATGCAATGAATTCTAAAGATATTAAAAGATGACTAAATACTTTCTGGAAATATCTCGTATATTACTACATATATACAATATCTATGTATGGTGCAATTCTTCCAGCAGATATTGAAGTTATAGTGAATAATGAATGATAAAATCTATTCTTATTCATGTCTGTCTGGAAACTATTTAAAGAATTGCCATTGAAAAGGTATTTAGCTTAAATAGTGGTCATTATGCTTCTTTGTTGATGATCTCTCTGTCTGTTTCAAAGATTCATCATGTCTATCAATGGCCTTGAAGAAGTATTTCACAACAATTGACTACATTTTTTTTTTACATGTGACTAGAATGCAGAGAATACCATAGACAGAGTGCATAAGCAATGTAGATGCCTCAAGGAAAATGGAAACAAAAAGGACACTTATACTCAGAATCAGAAAGAGTCAGCTGAAATTTCTTAGACCTATAATGAGGAAGGAATGCTTGGAGAATTTGACACATACATATTGAGGATAAGGGGGCAAGAGGAGGAAGTGGGCCATCTGTCTGAGGAGCTTGTGTGAATGGATGGCAAAATGGTGGCAGGGGATGTTTGGCAAAGGTACAAACATTGCTAAGGGATACAAAGAATAAGAGGCTGTGGAGAGCCAAGACCACCCATATCCTAAAAAGACAAGGCATGTAGCAGAGGAAGTATATATTTTTTAATATTTATTCTCTACTTACATTGTCTGTCCTTCTGCCAGCCAAGCCATTTATCTTAGCCTTACATGTGTACAAAATATCTATATAGCAAGCTGGACTCATCAGCTATGACTAATGTAGTGGGTTTGAATCTCACTGAATAGCTCACTTATGTGACCATGTGCCAGACAAAGGTTAGTAAATATCTAAATGTATTAGCAATATGTTCAGGATTCACTTTTCTTTGGTTTATAAAGCTTTTTTCTACTATGTGAAATACAGTTCATTACCATTACAACACCAACTCTTTGATATTCACAGCTTATACAACAAAAACAAGCGTTAATTCCATCCAGTTATATGGTTTTATGACCCTGGTATTTTTAGATGGTATTCAATAAGTGGTTGCATGGAGCCAGATTAAGGTTTTTTTTTATTTCTTCCTTCCCTGTCACCTACAATCTTCAAAACTTTAAATGCAACGTCACTCACATCTGACTTTCTGAACAAGTTTCTTTTATTGCCCTTTCTCCTCACTAAAGTCTTCCCATTCCCTTTCACTCCCTGTAATCCCCTTTGTTTCAGTGGCATTGTTGCCTTTGGGGTGAAAAGATTAAAAAATTCTTTGTGGAATAGCCTTTGTTTTTAATCATTTCCTATGAGTAGGAAATATTTATATGGTTAGCAAGCTGGACTCACCAACCACTGCTAATGTAGTGAGTTTGAATCTCACTGAAAAGAGTGCTTATGTGGCCCTGTGCCAAACAAAGCTTGGTAAACATTTAGATTTATTAGCAGTATGTTTAGGATTGTTGTATGACTTAAAAACCTATCTGCATTTTATTTTTAAAGCCTTTGCTGACATAAGGCAGTTCTTGTTCATTCTATCTCAGTACATTATTCCATTCACTCTTCCTGAAGTTGTTTTCTACTATCTGATGAAATACAGTTCATTACTATCACAATGCCAACTCTATGCTTCACACTGGCTTGAATTCTTTGTTCTTCTACCTCCAAAACTGACAATGTAGCTGAGGCCAAATACTAAGTACCAGTATTTTTTGGATTGTATTCCAGAAATCGGTGCATGGAGCTTGATGAAATTAAGGTCTTTTTTACCCTATGAGCTGTAGATGTTGAAGTGAGCACTTCCATTTGAGTTAAAGAACAATATGACAGTGTACAACATTCTCATCAAATTGAAGAATATTATTCCAGTATGTATATGATTTACATAAATGCTCTTTTGAAAATTTCAGATGCATCTCCATATGTGATTTCTTCAGAAGTGGTACTTTTCATGCTCTATGTTAATGCTATCCATATCGGTGGAACCTGTTGATTGCAGCCCAAAGTTTAACTGTTGTCTTTTATGCATAAGGGTCATCTTTACATTAGTTAATTTGAACAAAAAACTAAACAAATACATTCATATAAAATTATAAAAGATATATTTCAATATCAAGATGAAGCAAAGAAGTATTCAGCACCCGACACAAATCAAAATCCATTAGAGCCTAATACTTTATGAAATAACCTTTGTTCTCAATGACAGCCTCCATTTAATTCAAATAAGTAGCCCTTTGAACGGTCTTCTGCTTGTATTATAAACAACTCCTCATGGCAGCTCTTTGGTTCCTTTAAATTACTAGGCTGATGAACTTAGATATAAGTTATGAATTTTTTTCAAGTCTGGGGCATGACACAGAGACTTTTTTCACTGACTGTGAGATATGAGAATCCCAAAATGTTTCAGGAATGTTCTTCTAAACTGGTTGCCAGTCAAAGCTAAGGAGCCCAGTCTGCCCTACTGTTTTATATATAACTTGTAATAAAAGACATGCATTTATGCATTTCTCAAGAGCATTAGTGTAAAGAGAATACTATAGTATGCATAGAATTTTAAATTGGCCTGTTGATTCAATTTTCGGCACCAATAACCATTAAAATATCTCTATATTCACACACACACACATACATATATATGTGTGTATGTGTGTTTGTGTGCATGTGTTTGTGTTCATTTACATGGGTGCTTTAACTATAAATTCCCTGTGGAGTAGAGAACCACAGATAAAATTTGTTTGTTGCTGCTGCTATGGTTTCAGTAGCGAGCAGGTTTTTATGCGTTGGACTTGACTTACTTCGCACGAAACCTAAAGACTGCCAAATCTGCCCTACTATTTAATTCATAGCTGTGTAGACGGAAGTGTTACATTCATAGCTTTCCTAACCTCAGCTGGAATCCCGCTTCACTTTCAATGATAATATCTACAACACAATGTGCACATCCATACACACACACATATATGTATGCACACACGCACACACATGCACACACGCACACGCATGCACACGCACGCACACACACACATATGATAAGGAACAAATTGGAAACATTATAAATTTGTTCCTCATGCTATTATTCTGTCAGATTCTAATCCATATTGGATGCCAATTCATATATATATATATATATATATATATTATAAATTAATTGATTTAAAATGTTTTTTCTGCTACACAGTTCTAACCATGTTTCAAAATTTTTTGAAACATGGTTAGAACTGTGTAGTGGAAAAAAAACATATTTTAAATCAATTAATTTATAATATTAATGCTCTGTAAATTTACATTGAGCACTATTTTGTAAAAATAAAAATACCTATAAGAACACCAGATTATATATCCTACTGTTCTTTCTTTATATATATATAGATTCGTGATCGCGTTCGTGACTGTTATAACACTTATAGAGATAGGTGTACATTTTAGCTGGTATATATCTTCTATCTTTTTTGACATTATTGTTAGACCAATACACACACACACACACACATATATATATAATAATTTATAATTATTTTTTAGAAAAACTTCAATTTAATTGTAAAAATTAAATTGAATTAAAATATCAAGCTCTGTTTCATCTTCAAGTGAAATCTTTGGAATAACTATCTTGAAATTTATGCAGCTTTATAAGCATATTCATTTGTAATATTATTTACTATGGAAATGGCTGAAGCAATTATTTCAATAAGGGGCATAAGAGTTATCATTGTATCAACATATTAGTTTGTTTGAATTTGAATATATATATATATATATATATATATATATATATATATATATATATATATGTATGTATATATGTTCAAATTCAAAGAAATTTTGTTATATTTAACTGAAAAGGTTTGTCTGTTTAATTTTTTATTGTATTTTTACAATTTTCTAATAGGAGGTATGTCAGATTGAAAACTGTGTGAAGTTCATGTTTTGGTCAATAAATTTTGATTTATATCAGTCGTTACCAAGAAGTGGCTTAGATGATTGAAAATACAAAAAAAGCATGAACTTTGGACCGTTTATATACAATTTTGATTCTTATATACAACTTCACATTCATAAATTAGGAAAATGCAATATAAAATTTAAGGAGACAATCTTTGTCAGTTGAATTTAACAAAACTTCTATGAAATGAATTCTTGCTGCCTAAATGTAACAGACACATATATACATACATATATATGACTAAATTCATTTTGCTCCTTTACATTTAAACTCTATCTGAAAATAATTTACACACATGCACACACACACAACTATATATCTATATCTATATTTATCTATATGTAACCACAAACATATATATATATATATATATATATATATATATATATATATATATATATATATATGTGTATATATGTGTGTTCGTCTGTATGTGTGTGTGTGTTTTAAAGTTTCAAATAGAATATATCCATATAAGGACAGTATACATATAGATACGTACATACATGCATGTACATATATATATATATATATATATATATATATATATATATATATATATATATATACGTGTGTGTGTGTGTGTGTGTGTAAAAATTTCAAATACAATATATCCATATAAAAACAGTATGAATAAAGATAAAAAGAAAAATTATCTTAGCTAACATGTTTCGTCCTCTGATAAAAAGTCCCTCAGAGGACAAAACGTGTCTGGTAATATTTAGAGGATATATTTGAGTAAACATCCTTGTTTTTAAGTGATGTATACCAG